GAAAACACTCAGTCTATGGGTTCAAAAAGGGGTAAATGAATTGAGTTTATTTTGTTTTGTGATGGAGGTGTGGATAGGATTGGGAAAGAGGAATCAATGGGTATGGAAAGCTGTTGGAAGCGACGGCGGTAGCGCCGACGGCGATGGTGGTGAGTCGTGGTGGCCAAAAAGCTTATTTGGTTTGGTTCGAGGTGAGTGAGGGAGGGAGACAATGAACATTTTTTTCTTTTATTTTTGTTTTTTTTTTTGTTCTAATTATTTTAAGAGATATATAGCCAAGTTACCATTTGACCCATTTTAAATTTGATCAAAACTAACTTATTTGTTCAACTAACAGTCAAATGGATGGTCCATCCATTTGGATCTCTACTGAATATTTTCAAAAGGTTAGGGATCGTCGTTGGCACAAATTGAAGGTTAGGGTAAAGTCCGCAAAAATTGAAAAGGTTAGGAACCGCTGCTGCAATTTTCCCTTTTAAATATGAAGTAAACGCGTGAAGAAGGTTATAGAAAGGAAAATTGCAGCCGCCATCTCAAACCTTTTCGTTTTTTGTAAACTTTACCTCAACCTTTAATTTGTGCCACCACAGGTCCCAAACTTTTGAGAAATTCGCAAATGCAGTCTAAAATGACGGAAAACGTTAGTTCCACCGTCAGTTGACCTCAAAAATGGAATAAATGCAAACATGGGCATTTTCGTCCATTCCAATTTCCCACTTTTCACTATGCTAATCACTGTTCATTTCACTCATTTTCCAGGTTTTATATATTCATCTTCGCTCTCTCCCATTATCGTAGGTGTGAATATGGAAAGCAATGTATGTAAATGCCGTGACCTTGTGCAAATGAAGACCTCATGGACAATCTTGAATCTAGGAAGAAGATTTCTCACTTGCCACGGCGTCAGGATGTCGGTGGATGTAACTTCTTTAACTGGTACTACTCTCCAATGTGCAATAGGTCGAGGGAGATAATCCTTGGATTTCTACGTATTAGAAAGGAGATGGAAGCTGAACTAAACACCCTACGTGCAAGAAGTCGCGGCTCATGGAAGACTTGGATATTAGGATTTGTATGTGAATTTTTTTGTGAAATGGGTCTATGCATAGATCTATGTTAAGGTTTATAAGCTCATATGTTGTGTTTGTGTTTTGGAAGGTGGGTTCATGAGTTAGTAATCAAGTATTATCTATGATTTTGTAACTTATTTTTCATTAAATAAGTAAGAAATATTATCATTCAACAGTGTTGCCCTAATTTTCATTTGGCACAGTTTCCTCCATTCCCCTATGAGCAAATGTTTCCAAATGACGGGAAAAATCTGTTTGAAAACCCGTTGTAGGTGGTGCATCGTAGGTCTCAAACGTTTTCAATAAGTCCTACAGAAAGTCCCAAACCTTTTACGACGTCGCAGCGTAGGTCCCAAACATTTGTTTTTAAATTTACATAAAGTCCCAAAATTTTTGAGTGAATTGTACGTAGGTCCCAAACCTTGTACGGAGTTTAATCTTATGTTCCAATTCTTTACTTGAGTAAGAATATCTATTTCATCACTTTCGGTCCCAATTCCAAAATTGTTTCACTTCCGAAGCACCCAAAACAAAATGATCCAAAATAGTCACTAATTAAAGACAAATAGAACCATTTTTTCGTTTGAATATTCACATTCTACATCATCATTTTACACCATCATTCATTCATCATACAAAAGCAATTCCAATTTCGTTCTACCAAAATATCTAATCACATAAACTTCATCATACAAAAAAGTTTGTTCAAAAGGATCACCATACAAATGTCTTGCGCAGTACCTATGTTCAGCACCCTCACATAACAAATTTATGGAGTCTACCAAGCCCTTCTATTTGTCAGAAATGAAAGTCCAAGCTCTAGCATTACACATCCTAATATCAACTACTAAAAACTCTAAGAACCATTCCCAATTTATTCTATTCTCCGTATCTACAACATCCTAAGCTACGGGAAACATGCAATTATCGGCATCAATACCTACTACAGCCAACAACTGCCCACTTTATGCACTTTTTAGGAAACATCCATCCAAACCAATCACATTCCTACACCCAACTCTAAAACTTTCTTTGCAAGCCCCCAAACGTATGTACATTCTTTTGAATGTATCACATTTCCCTTCAATTCTCAATGTATTACCAGGATTAGTTCGTTTCAACGCTTATTTTAGAAAATTAGACCGTTGACAGAAGATTGTTAGCTTAATTCATTCTTGGAGGACAAATATAAAATAAAAATCGGAGATTGTTAATGGAAATGTTAACTTTTGATGTTTATACTTATCTGAGCTAGATAGGGCAAGGATTAGGAATCAACTAAAACTTCAACTTAGGAGCACCTGGGAAAAGAGAGTGAAAATATTAAGTTGGGGGGTGTGTGCATCTCTTAAGTGGAGTAAGGAAATATTAGACTGTGGGAATTGGAACCTGAATCAATCATGAGCTTAATTTGTGGCATGAGTATACACACACGTCGAGTTTTGCATAAAACATGTGGTGATTGATTTAAACTATTTGATATTGAAGCTAATTTCTGTATTAACACAAATTCCAATCCTGAGACATAGCAAGTTATCTCACCCATGTGTTGAGTAAAGTCACAATTGTTGTTTGAGGACAAATAAAGTTCAAGTTTGGGGGATTTGAACTTGTTGCAAAATTATCCAACAAGTGTACGGGTTCGTTGTACAAGTAATAGTTGTGATGAGTGAGTTATCGTCTCATAGAGAATAAGGCTTAATTCTAGTATATCCGATATACCTAAATTCGCAACAATAATAAGATATGATTGATTTGTATTTAATTACGTTCTAAACTACGAAAGCAATAAAATGGTAGTTTGTAAATCAAGTGTGAATGAATGTATTGGATTTCCGATTCTATAAATTGACTCTAGAATTCAATTCTCAATCTGTTATAATTAATTCAATCATTGCATTCGTGACGATCGATAATTCCACTTTTATTTATTATTATTATTTTCCTAGATATAATAAACATATGTTGATCACGACACGATCCTATTCCTAGTCCGCATTCATATGATAAACATAGGATTATCACACACGGCACTTCACAAATATTATTCCTAATATATATTCTTCATGTGTTCCATATACAGTGTTCTACCTATCGTGAGTTTTTCAACACTACGAATAAATAACTTATTGCCCTAATGGTGCGCAAACATTAAAACAATATGAATCAGTATGTATATAGAATCACAACGCAATAATTAACTAAAAATCACAAGTCTTGAATTAAAAACTTGAAATAAAATAGTTTCATTATCCATCCAATACAACTAAACTTATCCTAGCATATTAATACAGAAATTACACAGAAAATAAAATGAAGGCATCACCCAAATCATATATAATAGAAGAAAATCTGGACTTTGACTCTTCACACCTTCGTAATCGGATGCAAAATGGTGAATTTCCCCTTCTCAATGTATTTTTCTCTCTTTGTTCTCTAAATGCTGCTCTCCTCTCACAAAATCTCGAAAAATACCCTTTTATACCAACCCTAGAAACTCCCAAAACAAGATAAGGAAACAAACCTTTTTTTCTCATTCTAGCTTGAGGCGCGCGGCTTAGCCATTTGTCAAGCCTCAGTCGAGGCATTTAGGGGGTGAGGTGCGCCCTTGCCTGCTTAGGGCTCACTTTTGGGGCCAATTTCGTTTTGGCCCCTAACTTTCCTCATTCTCCCGGCCAACTTTCAATTATGTGCATCTTAGTCCTCTCCTTCTTCATTTGCTTTGGTTAAATCCATTTCTTGATCAGTTTCTCCAATTTCCGTGTATTCATCGATGTGAACCTAAAACATAAAGTAAACCACAAATTTAGCCACAAATCCATCCATAATATCACAAATATCCATATTTTGACAAACTAAATAAGCAAGAGAAATGCACTTATCATACATCAATAGCGAACAAAAATTAAGTAGGCGACATGCTACTTGGTTTGATTCTTCAAGCTTACAATTTCACCATCAAACACAAATCTAGCACTAAAAATGTTGTGGCTGATGCTTTAAGCAAAAAGTATTCTTTGCTAACACAATTACTAGTGAAGGGTGTGGGTTTCGAAATTCTAAAGGAGCTTTATGAGAAAGATCATTTCTTCGAAAGTATTTGGAAAAAATGTAAACATCACCGTCATCAACAATTTTTATTGCACAATGATTTTCTTTTCAAGGCAAATCGTCTATGTATTCCCTAATGTTCACTAAGAGAGGCTATCATCATTGAAGCTCATTCGGGAGGACTAGGAGAACGCTTTGGAAGAGACAAAACTCTATCATGGTGGTGATTGATCGATTCTCAAAAATAGCTCATTTTGTTCCATAAAACAAAACCAATGATGCATCTCATATTGTTGATCTATATTTTCGTAAGATTGTCAAACTCCTTGGAATTACTAAGTCTATTGTTTCATATCGTGATTCAAAATTTTTAAGTCATTTTTGGCGCACTCTTTGGAATAAGATGGGGACTAATCTTTGTTTTAGTTCATCTTGTCATCCACAAAGATGATTAAATAGAAGTTGTCAACCAAAGTTTGGGAAATCTTTTGAGGAGATATGTGGGAAGAGTATATGACAATGGGATTTGATTTTGACTCAAATTGAATTCGCTTATAATCAATCAACTAGCTAAACTACCGGAAAAAGCCCATTTGAAATTTTATATGGTCAAAGTCCATTAAGTCCTTTGGACTTGAATCTACGTTTTGTTACTCATCATTTTAGTGGAGATGCAAAAGAAAGAGCTAAATTCATTATAAAGATGCATGAACTAGTTTGACATAATGTATTGAGAAGTGTTCTAGAAAGTGTAAAGTATTGTTAGGCGTGGAAGCCAAACTTCAAGATTTACAAGCCTAAGCCTCACCCAGGAGTAAAAAAACATTTTCTTATTTTTAGTATTATTTTTAATTTTTAATTATTTTAAACATTATTTAATAATTAAAATAATATATACCTTATATCTAAAATTATCAAATACCATATTTATTTAATAATTCCTACGATTAGTCAATTATACAATTTCATGTTTTTGAAATACAAAAATTATACTATTTTTCATAGTTTCAACTTTCAAATAGATAAGTCCTATTTGAAATTTTTTAACGTGTTTTCATTTTTGACTTTGTACAGATAAAGTTTTTTTAAAACTTAAAACTAAAATCAAATAAAAGGCTTTTAAAAAATAAAAAATAAAATTAATAAAACACCACTAGGAGCTTATTGCCAAAGCATGGCGTTTCGCCCAAGCCTCGCGCCTAGACGTGCTTTTTAGAATACTATTACAAAAACAAAATGAGAAGTACATGAAGACTGCAAACAAGCATCATCAACGTGTTATATTCAGGGAAGGTGATTTAGTTTGGGTTCATCTTCGGAATGAATGGTTTCCTCAAGGAAAGTATGCAAACTCCATCTTAAGGCTGATGGACCTTCCAAAGTTCTTCAACGAATTGGTAATAATGCATACAATATTGATCTACCTTCTAGTTTCAGTGTTTCCAGCCCAGTATCAGTCCATGGATTGACTTTCTGTAGCATAACTAGCATTCTTTGATTTATCATCCATAGAATGGGAACTGGGTACCTCTTGTTTTGTGCTAGAGCTACCAACATAATCTTGATTATACCACCTATGTGGAGTGACTTTCCTTGGGACCCAGTCATCCTTCTCGGCTAACATCCAAAGAATGAAAACACTTTCACAGTTTGGAATGCATTAAGGGGATTACATGTGTGTTTTCTAAGCATGTTCCTGCACATACCTACAGAAGAATCCAGATCTATGGAAATGGCTGACTTGTCAGGAGCAACCTCTAGATGCAGTAAAAATAAATCCTGTAAGACATGATTTAGAAATAAGTTTTCTATTTGTTGCATTCTTCGATCCATGACTGCTTTCGTGATATGATCTATCTAATTTATCTAATTTTCTTCACAGGTATTTTTAGCTTTTCGGGACAAGGTTATGAACAACCTCAACAACCATTCGTCTCCTGAAACTCAAGCAACTCTCGGACAGCCTTGGGTGAGAGGTTGGGACGATTCCAAAAAAGGTCGAGATGCCCCTACAGCTGGGAACCAGTAGTTGCATCTTGAGATCAGATGTTCTGAAGTATCGTGTTCTTCTCTAAGCTAGCCTACTCGTGAAATGGAGCATGTTTGGCAAAGTTTAAATTTTAATATAAGTTGTGTTGACTTCGAAAAATGGCTCCGACACGTGGCCAATAGAAAAAATCTTGGAGTCAGCTCTTCTCTGCACACGTAGCACACCGTTAGTCACCCGTGGCCATTCCCCGAAAGGTTGGGAGCAGCCGCGAGCACTCCGACGGTCAAGTTAGTTTATAGTTCAACCGAAAAAGGTTCACCGACGGTAGAACACTTGCTAGAAAGTGGTTGATAAAGTGTATAGTGATAAAGTGCCAATATTTAAGGGAGAAGATAATACTCAAATTTGCAGTGTAGTAAGAGAAAATCTTGATTCGACCATATGTGATTCCAATGTGTGGGATGCCATCCATTCTTTTAGCACAAGGAGGGGATATTTATACTAAGAATAGGAAGATGAGAGCCGTTGGATGAGGACACACGTGTTATCAGATCCTTAGGGCTCATCTCATCCTAGGTGTCAATCTGTCCCTCCATAGGTTGGCTGGCATTGAATATCTCTGACAAAGGCAGTTGAATTGACCATTTGATTCCTGACACAGATTCCATCAATCAAGGATTTGACTTTGAAAAGATCTTTGTACAAGAGATCTTTGATGGGCGAGGCGAGGCAGACGAGGCATTGCAGCGTTGTAGAAGTGGAGTACAGGCCTTTGCATCCACGTGGTATTTGTGGATGAGTCTGGTTCCTTCGCTGATGCGTGTTTAATTCATTCCTCATGTAATCACTTCAACATGTACAATCAGCTCGTCCCATGTATAATCACATCGGTCTACGCATGGCGTGGCGTAGACCACCTCTACTAACACGTGGCGGGTGAGGTGACGGGTCTAACACAAGCCCGTAACAATAGTCCAGCAAGTCCATGTATGGATATTTATATAGTACAAGGACTTTTAGTTCTAACTATTTTTTAGTGGGGAAGCATAAGGATGCGCGTTGGAGGCGAGCAGTTGGGTGGCGAATGTCCATGATTTTGTCCGAAGTGGTATAGGTTGGTAGTTCTGTGGAAAGCTGTTGCAATGCGAAGCTGGCATGGCCGAAGTGAAAGGAGTTGTTGTAACATTAGATTCTGCTCTAACCGAAGTGATATGGGTTGGCAACTCTTTAGAGAGCTGTTGCAACGCGAAGCTTTAAAGTAACGAGGCGACTGGGTCTGAAACGAACTTTGGGCTTTGTGCCAATAATTTGAAAGCTTTTACGTCTTCCCAAGGCAATCATGGGGAGGCATTTGCTTGCTTCCAAGGCACGTCTCCCTTACCATAAATGGAAATGATGGTGACGGCCACCTGCTCCCAAGATAACGCATCTTAATCATGCATGAAGTTCACAGCCTCATCAAGGCCCTTGATTTGTGTGACCCTTGGTTTCAATGATGATCGTGGGCCTTGGATATGAACGGTCCAGATGTAGTTTGTGATGATCCAATGGCTGGGGTGGATCTCAAGAGGTCTATATAAGGTCCGTTCCATTCATTTCGAACCTTTTCACTTTTGTGAAAATCTCCAACCCTCTAAAAAGATTCTTGCTTTCAATCCTTTGCGTCTTCTTCTCCGGCGAGCATTCAGAATTCCGACGAGGAGGCAGACTGTCGAACTAGGTAACCATCTTATTTTTTAGATTTCTCATCTTTTTCCCCATTTTTTCTTTTCTGAATACTTTCAAAATTCTGTGAGATGGCGAGGGAGACCTCTATGGTGAGGAGTGAGGAATGGCGAGGCGAGAAAAGCTCCACACTGAGGGAAACCATATTGATAACTCCCCGACGAGCTGAGTAGGGCCATTAGGGCTAGGGAGAATATCTGGAAACGTCCAGTATCTCCCGTAGACACATCTATCCAATGGGGGGCATCAGATTACCCATCAAAAATCACCCTGGAGCTTATAGAAGATGTAGGAATGTTTTTAGGGTTCTCCGTAACATTCAACTCATCCGACCCGAGCCGCACGAGAGGGCCTGCTACCCTAGGACAGGGTGTGTAGCAGTGAGTGATCACTTGATCTAGGCCCGGTTGAGGCTTCCTTTCCACCTTTTTTTCAGACTAGTACTAAGGTCTTACGGGTTGGCCCCGACACAGTTCAACCCCAATTCCTGGTCCTAGATGGTAAGGACATGGATGCTGTGGCGACGGGCCAGCATGAGGGTGGACATGCCTTTCAGTGTGTTCTATTCCCTCTTCTTCACAAAAGTCACAGCCGGGAATGGGGGAAGCAGCAAAGGCTGGTACTATCTGGCTCCCTGGGGGTCCCACTCGTCCTTTGTGATCGGGTCGCCTTCATCAATCAACGGCTGGAAGAGCTCGAGGTTTTGGGCATCTGGTCAGTGGAATACCATGGAGAATGATCCCATGGCGCCTCTGACCGTCCCCACCACCTACTTTACTTGCAGTAAGTAGTTTGCCGATCTGATTTTACTTGATTGACTGCTTATGGTTTTAATATTTTTTTTTGTAGGCTCCCTTTCGAGGTGCTAGATAACCGAGGAGGAGTTGGATATTATCAAACAACTGTACCAGACGCTTCTGTCGAAGAGGAGTTACAAGGAGCTTATAGACAAGAACGCTCACTTCGTTCTCCATGGGCTGATGACTAACAAGGGTAACTACATTACTTCGAATATAGTAATTCCCTCGCTGTTTCTTTCTGAAGATTGTAACCCTTTTTGCAGTTGACCACCGAGGCCTGATCTTGCCACCATCCGCTGGAGCGTGGTAGAAGCCAAGCTGTTGAAAACCAGCTCGGCTGCTTATAAGAAGAAGTCGGAGCGTCTGCTCACCCTCAGCAGTTGAGGAAAATGAAGAGGAGAAAGGAGCCTCCCTCGTGAAAAGAAAGAAAACGGTTGGCCCACCTGTGGCCCCTGCTACCGTTCCGACCACAGCAATCTCTCCTTTCCCTCCTGCTAATGCAATGGTCACTGTGGCGACTCCGTCAATTTCCCAGGCCATTGTGCCGATAACTGTATATTTCGCAGAGGGACCGGCCAAGAAGAAGCAAAAGAAAACTACCAGCACCTCAGCTCGGGAAAAGGTCATTAATTTTTTGGAGAGTAAGGACGAAGACCTCTCGAGGCTATATTGGAGATGCTCCCTCCAGAGACCGCCTCTGTTGCAAGGGTCCATAACAAGTATTGGACCGAGGACTGGGCTGATCACGCCGCCTCATATGAGATTGAGGACCTTTTAGCTGCCAACAATGCCTGTGTGGCTAGAGCACTAAGTCTTAGGACGGCGGCAGAGGATTTAGATAGAGGCCTCCGTAAAAAGAATGATGACCTGGAGAAGAGGTTGGAGGCCTCGTCAAGTTGGGAGGTTGAGGCGAAAAAAGCCAGAAAGGAGGCTGAACTGGAGGAGGAAAAGAGGACTGAGGCAAAGGTGAAGTTCGACTCAGCTGAGATATGCTTTAATCAGTTGAAGAATGAACTACACGAGTCAGCTTCGCAAGTAGCAGCTCTGACCAAGAGGATTGATCAGTCCAATGAGCATCAAAAGCTCGCCTCCGAGGCTCTGGAGGGGCTAACAAGGAGAAGGCTGAGCTGAAGAAGCTCTCCGAGGCCCAGGCTAAAGACATTGATTCTTTGAAGGTCGAGGTAAAGATGGTAGGCGAGGCGTCGATTTAGAACTATAAAGACAATTTTGAAAATACGCTAGAGTATGACGACTTTGCCAATTACTGGGCTTCCTAGGCCTCCAAAGAGATGATGTATTGCCTCTGTGAGAGGCATCCCAAACTGGACATAGAGTTCCTGGAAGAGGAGTTCGGGGACCCCACTGGAGGTCGGCCTGTGGTGGAGGATGAAGAAGGGGCCTAGGAGGAAGGAGTTGAGGAGGCTGTGGTCAACCTAGACTAGAAGCCTTGTAATTTCCATCCCATGTAATGGCCTCGGCCTCTTTTGGCATTAATGAAATCTGTCTTTCCTTATTGTCGCCTCGCCTTACTTTATTTCATTTGTACAAAGAAATTGCTTCTCCTATCATAGCTTCGGATAAACAGCAGAATTATTTCGCATCGACTTACCCTAATCATTTAATAAAATGTAAGGAGCCAATGAGAAACCAAGTAATATCGTATCGACCTCGCTTAACCACTTAATAAAATGGAAGAAGCCAATGAACTAACATTATCGCATCAGCCTCGCTTAATTACTTAATAAAATGGAAGAAGCCAATGAAGAAATTACCTCTAACTAGGCAGATTACTTTGGTGGAGGTGACCCCTGTGGAGGAGCTTGCACCTCGGCAAATTTGTATAAAGCGTACACTTGCTGCTTTGTCAAAGATGGCACCCGCACCACCTCTGACTAGGTAGCCTATTTTGGTGGAGGTAACCCATGTGGAGGAGTTTGCACCTCGCCAAATTTGTATGAAGCATGCACTTGCTGCTTTGTCAAAGATGGCACCCGCACAACCTCTGACTAAGCAGATTATTTTGGTGGAGGTAACCCATGTGGAGGTGCTTGCACCTCGCCAAATTTGCATGAAGGGTCCACTTGCTGCTTTGTCAAAGATGGCACCCGCACCAACTCTGACTAGGCAGATTATTTTGGTGGAGGTGACCCATGTGGAGGAGCTTGCACCTCGCCAAATTTGCATGAAGCGTGTACTCACTGCTTCGTTAAAGATTGCACCCGCACCACCTCTGACTAGGCAGATTATTTTGGTGGAGGTGACCCGTGTGGAGGACCTTGCACCTCGCCAAATTTGCATGAAGCGTGTACTCACTGCTTCGTCAAAGATGGCACCCACACCACCTCTGACTAGGCATATTACTATGGTGGAGGTGACCCCTAAGGAGGAGCTTGTACCTCGCCAAATTTGTATGAAGCGTGCACTCACTGCTTCATCGAAGATGGCACCCACACCACCTCTGACTAGGCATATTACTTTGGTGGAGGTGACCCCTGAGGAGGAGCATGCACCTTGCCCAAT